AGTGCCAAGGGTGGTTTAGATTGGGTATCAGGAATAATTTATTTCCTGAAAGGGTTGTCAGGCATTGGAAGGGGTTGCCCAGGGCAGTGGTGGAGTCCCCATCCCTGGAGGGATTTAAGAGTCATGTAAACATGGAGCTTAGGGACATGGTTTAGTTGAGGACTTGTCAGTGTTACATTAATGATTGGACTCAATGATCTTAAAGGTCTTTTCCAATCTAGGTGATTCTGTGATTCTGTATTTTGGTTTCAGCATGGGGGGTTTTTTTATGAGAGAAACATTGATAACATACCAATATTTTCATTTTTATCACTGGAAGTGAAGGACTTCATTTTATTTTGGTTTCAGCATGGGGGTTTTTTTAATGAGAGAAACACTGATAACATACCAATATTTTCATTTTTATCACTGGAAGTGAAGGACTTCATTTTTTTTTAGTCTACAAGTGCAAGATCTAGGGGGGGTGAGGAATTTTTAAATTAATAAGCTAAATTGACATTTGCATATGCCAATAGGATATTCCATACCATATAACATCATGTTCAGCATATTAATGAAGTTCTCTTGCTCTCACTGACTTTTGCTGAGGCTCTCACTCTTCCAGGATTGCAGTTTCGGTTCAGGATTGTCGCTCCTTTGGGATCGTTATCTGGGAACGGGCTGGGCTTGGTTGGTGGGTGGTGAGCAATTGCATTGGGTATCACTCATTTGCATATTTTGTTACTATTATTATTATTTTAAGTTTTCTTTTATTACAATTATGAAATTGTTCTTATCTCACCCTACAAGTCTCCTTACCCTCGCCCCCCAATTCTCCACGCTATCCCCTGGCAGAAGGGGAGTGAGTGAAGGGCTGTGTTTGGCTCCTAGCCAAGTGCTAGCCCAGGGAAACCACCACACAGGTGTAGTATCCAGCATGGGGACACAGATCTTTTCAAGGCTGCATTAAAGCCATGACTAACTAATCCCACATACATAAGCAAGCCTTGTCCTGAGTGCTCATAGCGTGGATGACTTTCCCAAGGTATGTGCTGGCCTGCACAGATCAGTGTGGCTGCCTTGGCAGATTCATACAACTCATCAGCAACTTTATGGGGAGTTACTGAGCTACCTGATGTGAAAAGCTTTTCCATACACGCCAAAGGCAGCTTAAAATCACCCTGACCTCTCCTGGACACTGCCGATGCCCTGGCCAAATCTGTGGCACATTAAATAACTGGTACCCTGAAAAGTAGCTGGGAAATCTGGAAGGGATTTCCTACAGCTTGTCTCTGTGCCGTGGTGGCCCCAGTTTTGCTCTGCTGGATGAGACAGTCAGTCTTTTGGCAACATAAGCCTGAAGGTGAGCTTTGTTCCACTGCCAGTTAGACTTTAAAACTGCAATTAAATAAAGTATGTTCACCTGTTTGTCAGTTGTGACTATTTATCCTGGAATGGGATTTAACCATTTGTGCCAATCACTCGCTCCCCTCATGGCTAGGTTGTTCACAGCTCGACTTTTACCTTGGACAGTAGTTTTTGCAGAATTCCTATTTTGCAAGTTTAGTCATTTGCTGATTAAATGCTGCTGAATTCCTCAGAGCCCAACAATTCATTGAGCCAGTGAGGAAACTGGCAATGCTCTGGGCACACACTGAATACAGATTTTACACGCACTTCAGAGAAGGAGCTCAGAGCAGCATTGAAGGGGAGCGCGGACATTTCCTGTTCTGTTGATTTCAAGTGATTAATTGCCAGTTTTGATTCAGGACAGTTTAGTATCTCACATATATTTGTCATGCTTTGACTGGGTCTCCTGGGGACACATCACTGTGTTTTAAAGTATTCTTAGGTATTGGTCTCTGCTTATCCAAATCACTCGGTAGAAATGACATTAAAATATCAGGAGAGGCCATGTTCAGTCTCACTGCAGCAGCACAACTTTGTTAAAACCCAGAGTGCCAGTCCCGAGCTGGCCAAACCAACTTCCCAAGGCCATGGTTGGTGGGAAGCAGAGGAGAGCAGGGAGCTGCCCCACAGGCACAGGGCAACTGTCAGTCTCACTGCAGCAGCACAACTTTGTTAAAACCCAGAGTGCCAGTCCCGAGCTGGCCAAACCAACTTCCCAAGGCCATGGTTGGTGGGAAGCAGAGGAGAGCAGGGAGCTGCCCCACAGGCACAGGGCAACTTTCGGTCCCACAGCAGCCCTTTGCCTGCATCTGCCTGGTTCTGTCTGAGCACAGCACAGCTTCGTGCTCAGATTGCAGCTCCCGTGTTTTCTGTTTCATTTGCTATCATTAAAAGCACCTTTAAGTGCCTCTTCCCAGATGCTTTTAGTGTTGGATCCATTTCAAAACTTGCATTTCAGCTTGAGATCAGGCTATTATCTTCCTTAGACCTAAACAGGGGTTATACTTTTCAAGCCCCCAAGGGAGGAAGCAGTGGAAGTGATGGTCTTTCATGCAAAGCCTGGTAGCTGGAGCCTTGCTGAAGAAGCAGGAGCTTTCCATTCTTGTTCCTCTGCAGCCTGCAGGACTTTACACCCTCTGCCTCAGGAGTGCTGAGCACAGCAGGTAGAGGTTACTCACCTTGGGGGTAACCTGTCCTCTCAGATAAACCCATCCCACCCTCTGCCAGTGCAGGGATGGTTCTTGATAGCACAAACCGAGGCCAGCACTCCAAAACCCAAGGTTGGATGCAAAGGCTTCTAGCATTAGGACTTCTGCCAGTGAGGCTTGCTCAGCATCTCCCAATTACTTCCATTTATACTTTCTGTGATTTCATGATGGGAGGAAGCACAAGCAGACCTATCAAAGGGACTTCAGGTGTTCAAGTGTCACTCAGCTAAAGGCACCATGCCAAGCCCTGCTTCTGCTGGCATTGCCGAAGGGTGGGCACTGGGGAGGGCTGTCTCCTTTTACCCCAAAATTTGATCCATGCAACCAGGGAAATTGGTGGTTCTCTTTAGTAAGTCCAAAATCTTGAACTTGAGCAAGAGAAGTTGGACAATAACTTTCTATCATAAACGATAACTGGATGTAGTTTGTCATTCTGCTGAATGTGAGCGACACATGGGATGTGCTGCAGAGACCCCCCTGGCTCACAAGGACAGGGGATCAGCCTTGGTGTACAGAGTCTGGATGTGCCCCCACACTGCCTGTGCAATCCCCTGGCAGACACCCCACAACTCCTGAGCATCCTCTCCAAGATAACCTGACGTGGGTGATTATTTGAGTACAAGCCATCTCCCGAGTTGAGAAACACTATCCAAACTAAAAGCAGAGCTGAGATAACTCAGCACCAAAGCAATTGAGCAAATATGCACTTGACTCAGTCAATAGGGTGACTTTGTGGCTGATTTCTACATCAATATGCAGATGTCATTAAAATTCAATCTTCAAGTCAAAGCGTCAGCCCTAGCTCACCAAAATCCTTCCCCCTGCATATTGTGGCAGAATGGTTTCTGTTCAAAGAAAAGAGAATTCTTCCATGGTTTTGCCTCTGTGATTTTTTGACTCTGCTTGTGACTCTGGATCTTTCCACCAATCGTTCCACTTGTTCTTTAGCTATTGCCTGTTTAATATACAACAACACTGGCTATAAGAGCCACTTTTGAAGAGTGAACTGCCAGTGCTGCGGATACGAACGCTGGTGCTCACATTACTCCTCAGCACGCAGCTTCCAAGGACAGGAAATGAACCTTTCTGGGAGCACCAGCTCTTTATCACCTACTAAATTAAATTCCTGGAAATCAATTAAATCTTAATCTAACATTAACCAGCATCCCCTCCTCTGTACACTCCATTAATGACTTGGAGTCATTCTGTTGAATTTTACTTGGACACTGGCCTTCTCCACCTAAATGGCTCGAGGAAGCTGTGGCCCAGGTTTCCCATTCAGGAGGCATCATTGCAACAGGGCAGGCACAACAGCAATGCTGTTGGCTGCCCTAAACGTGCTACTGTATTGTCTCACGACTACAGGGTGCTAATTGCTCAGCCCTGTGTGAGTGAGAACTTGTTTGCGTGCCACACAATGTAGATGCTGTCTGGGGCAAATCCGAGTCTTCTTTGGGGTGGCCATGGAAAAAGAGCAGGTAACGTGCATTGATAGGCACCACCACTGTCCCTAAGAGTGTTCTCCATGGTTAGGGTCAATTGATAAAGAATAATTATTTCATATGAGGTTTAAAAATAAAAAGCATCTCTACTTCTCTCTGCAAACCCTGAAGAACAACACCTTGTTTGTGATCACCTGGTTTTGTGATAGAGAAAGACCTTGAGCTTTTTAAGAAAGTGGTTTGCGAGATTATTTGTTCTCTGAATCTAAGTATTCTTTCTCTTTTTACTTCCTCACAACTACAGATTTTCAAGGAGGAAGACCTGCTGGACAAGGTGGAGATCTGGGCACTGAAGTACCGATGCGCTCACCCTCTCTGGTTGGGAAGTTTCTCAGCAGTCCTGGTTGTCACGGATCCTGACTATGCCAAGACTCTGTTGGCCAGAGGAGGTGAGGACATGATGTCTTCAGCTCTGGATCAACAACCACAGCTTGCAGATTTCCCATGCCAGCCTAAAAATTCGCAGCAAGGCAGGGTTTCACAGAGAGGTTGTCTTGCAGAAATCATCTAAAGGCATGGAGAGATATCCCTCCTTCATGCCGTGCCCTTGGTACTTCAGGCACAGGGCTCCGGACATGACAGAGACCCCTCCAAATCTGTCAAATTAAACTTCCTCGAGTGCTCCTTGAAGAGTTATCATCTTCTCAGTGCCTGACCCCAGCAAGGAGAAGACAGCTGGAAGCTTTTTTCTCAGCTCAGGTCTCTGTCTTCGCTTCTAGAGCATGTCTTTAGTGCATCCAGAGAGAAAGGTGCTAAATAGTGCTGTCTGGGAGGGTTAATAATTTATCACACAGCATAGACTTTGGACTACCAGTATTCTTGTCTATTCCAGTCAGGGCATCTGCTTTTCTTGCAGATGGGCTGAACAGTGTTGTTTTGTTGTGAAATACTGATGATTCTGCAGGGATGCCACCGATTCTGCTTCATACCCAATCAAAAATGAGAGCCTAGAGGGAGCTTTCAGGTGCAAACCAGTGGGTTGATGCTACTGAAACATTTACCATTTTATTTTCTCTTTCTTTTTACTTTCTATTTCTTACAGATCCCAAGGATAACATCAGCTATAATCACCTTGTCCCGTGGATCGGTATGTGTTCCCAGGGCTTTGCCCACCAGAAATTATTTTGAAGTTAGTCAAGAAGAGGCAGTCCTGAAGGGCAAAGGAGTCCAGGAAGTTTGGGCATTTTTCAAGAAGGAAATCTTAAAGGTGCAGGAGCTGCCCGTCCCCGTGTGCTGAAAGAAGAGGTGGTGGGGAAGAAGACCAGCCTGGCTGAGCAGAGAGGTTTGGCTGAAACTCAGGAAAAAAGGAGAGTTTATGACCTTTGGAAGAAGGAGCAGGCAACTCAGGAGAACTACAAAGATGCCATGAGGCGCTGCAGGGAGAAAATTGGAAGGGCCAAAGCCCAACTAGAACTTAATCTGGCTACTGCTGTAAAAGACAACAAAAAGTGTTTCTGTAAATACGTTAGCAACAAAAGGAGAGCTAAGGAGAATCTCCAGCCTTTACTGGATGTGGAAGGAAACATGAGGATGAGTACAAAGGCTGAGGAAAAGGCTGAGATCCTTAATGCCTCCTTTGCCTCAGTCTTTAATAGTAAGACCAGGGATGTCAAACATTGGAACAGGCTGCTCAGGGAAGTGGTTGAGTCAGCATGCCTGGAGGTATTTAGAAGACATGTAGATGTGGTGCTGAGGGACATGGTTTAGAGGTGGACTTGGCAGCATTAGGTTTACAGTTTGACTCACTGATTTTAAAGGTCTTTTCCGACCAAAACAATTCTATGATTCTAAGAGCATGCTATAAATAAACAGCATTGTGCTTATTCCTTGATGCAGTTATAGCTAAAAGCTTCCTGAAATTATTACATTTATTGAAAAAGCATTAAATTGAAAATAGCATTAAATAATGCTATTTTTTGTAATTTGAGAAAAGAAAGTTCGGATATAATTGTACATATAAGTAAGAACCACTTACATGTTCATAGATAGCAAAGGGTGGTTGTCGGAGAAGCTCAGATTCAGTGGAGGACCAGTGAAAAATGAATCTGCTGATCTGAACTTCTCAGTTCCAGCAGTGCTGGTGTTTCTTTTCGGAGGCAGCGCTGTATTGTTTTGGTGAGCAGGGCTCTGCTCAGCCGTGGGAACCCTGGAACAGAATGGAAACATTTGGAAATACTGTCTTGTCGCAGCTCAGTCAGCAGATTTAATCACGTTCTTTGTAGGCGGAGGCTGCATCTGCAGGCAGGTGAAAGCAGCGTGTTTGTGCCCAGCGAAACATATCCTGTCTGTGTTTCCTCAGGGAATGGGTTGCTGATCTTACATGGACCAAAATGGCACCAACATCGAAAACTCCTGACTCCGGGGTTTCATTATGATGTCTTGAAACCTTATGTGGCCCTGATGGCAGAGTCTGCTAATGTGATGCTGGTAGGTACCCATATCTGATGCTCCTTTCTCTGCTCTGATTTCTTTTCCCTGATCCTGACTCATAAGTAGGTAAACGCTGGAGCAGATTTCTTGCAGTGCCCTTGCTCACAACCTGTTAGTTGTAAGGACAGGCTGTGTCCTGGGGGTCAAGTTTTCTGAGTCACCACGAATCCCTGCCCATGAGTTGGAATGAATGCACAGGTTGAGCCTCCCAGCTGGGACTGTGTCTCTGGTACTGCTTTGGGCTCTGTGGCTAAAATTTGAGGATTAATGTTACTGCCATCCTCAAACTATGCACAATCTCAGTCCCAACTGCAACTTCTTATGAGGTGTTTTTGTAAATGGAGAATTGAAGTAAATAAAGGTTTGTAATAAATCCTGAAAATATAAAGGTTGCAGAGCTGTACTGTGACCTAAGGTTAAAGGGTATCATTTACTGTCAGCATACCCATGGCTGGACTGCAATCCCTACCTTGCCTAACACACAGTGAACCTGCACTGTTCTTCCATCCATTGGTGCTGGGCACGATAGAAAGCAGTGTGAATTACAGGTGAGGGATACCAGGCTTTGCACATAGACCAGCAGGACTCTGGATCTATTCCTTCTCCTTTGCCTCCCTCCATCCAACCTCCCCAGCAGTTCCACATGGATCATGGCTGTCCTTCTTCCCACTGGCCCAGGGAGCAGTCAGGAGCTGGGGGCTGGAAAGCCAGGAGAGCTTTTGCGAGGCACACAAGTGCCTGGCAGTTTATAATTCCTTGCAGACAATGCAAAGTGCCTATTGTGGGAGCCCATGCCACCAGGTGGCAATGGTTGTATGTGCTAAGGACATAAGTCTGTTTATACAAGCTCTCTTCCCCAGCCTGGTGTCAGGCTGTGGGAGCTCAGATGTGACTGTGCTCCTTGATCTCCTCCCTTTCTCAGTTTTTGAGTCCACTGGTTCCTTACAGCCACGAAGGGACAGAGGATTCAACATCCTTTTGTGTCTGCCAGGCAAGAGAGACACTATAGTTTCTCTAGGGATCCCCTATGGGAGGAGTTGAGCAGGAGCTCTTATATTGTATGCTGGAAAAACACAGTGGCAGAGAGATCATGGGATGGAGGAATAACCTTGATCAGAAGTTTGCATCTTAGACACCAAACTCATATGTGCTTGAGAACAGACTTGGTGAAGCCCAATGCCGACACACGCTGCCCTTGTGCAGGAAACACACTGCATCCTAAGAAAGACGTTGGTAACACAAGCCATCACCCAGCAATGTGCCTGTCCTGAGCTTCTCCAGAGCGCCCTTGCCCCAGGGTAGGGTACACCAGGGCTCACTGCTGCCAGGATTCGAGAGCAGCAGCTGCCTGAGGCAAACTTTATATTAACCATCCTGCTCTCGGCTTCCCTTCTCTGGGATTTTGACAGCAACTGAGAAATAATCTTCTTTTTTACATTTCTCTGAGATGTATCCCTAGCTGAGCACTCATTTAACCACAAGGTGACTGCAAATTGTGCAGAACTGTCCCTTGCCTTCTCATTTCTGTTTCCTTTGCACCCTAGGATAAATGGGAACAGCTCATCACAGATGGGAAACCAGTGGAGCTCTTTGAGCATGTCAGCTTGATGACTCTTGATAGCATCATGAAATGTGCCTTCAGTTGTCACAGCAACTGCCAGAACAACAGGTCAGTGCTGGCTGCCCCATGTCCTGACAGAAAGTTTGCAGCTCAGAAGGGAAATGGGCAAATTGCTTGTTGTGATGCTCCCAAGTTGACAAACTTCCACCATCCCCCTCTCCCCAGGAAAAACACCTACATCGAGGCTGTCTACAACCTGTGCCGCATGGTGCACCAGCGCCTTCGCGTCTTCCCCTACCACAATGACATCATTTACTGGCTCAGCCCCCACGGATTTCAGTTCAGGAAGAGCTGCCAACTTGCTCACGAACACACAGGTATTTCCTGCCTTCATCCTCTCCCAGAGCTTTTGAACAGGGTGAGTGATGGCTGACCAGAGGCAGTCGAGTTACTTCCTTGCCCATGCAGTCATCCTGCCTGGATGCTCGGAGTTGAGATCTAAGCAGTGCATCAGCTTGCAGCAGTGGTCTGATCTAGGCATGAAGCAAGGGGATCTCACAGCTCCTGGGTTATTAAACTGGATTAACAGAGGAATTCCCCTCTGGGAACACTCTTATTAAATGATCAGAGGCTGGTGAGACAAGGGATGGGTGCTGCAGGCAGCACTGATGCATGGAATGATTTTCCTTTCCAGGCATGATTTTAGTGCAGGAGTGGGGGGTGAAATAGGCTGAGGAGTCTGTGGTGGACAAAGAAGTCTGCAGAAAATAATGGCAATGTGCACAGCATTTGTTGCCATGCTGCTGAAAAAGCCAAACTGCCTAAGATGCAGAAGCACACATGTCAAAATGCATTGTGGACTGAGTGGTGGTCACTCCCTTGGGTGAACTTTGCATTCGCAGGGTGATTTTGCAGTTTAGCATCTCCTGCCCCAGTTGAACCTTCAACTCTTTCTTCCTCAGACAAAGTGATACGCGAGCGAAAGTTGTCCCTTAAAGATGAACAGGAATTTGAAAAGATCCAGAAGAAGAGACATTTGGACTTCTTGGACATTCTGCTGTGTGCCAGAGTGAGTGGTGAGGAGTGCGTATGTAGCAGGGTGCAAAAGCCAGTCAGTCTTTGCAGGGGTGCCACAAACCACCAGAGCCTTTCATGCCAGAAAAAGCCATTAAAATAAATTAGCCCAGTCCTACCCAGTTGAGGAGGGGTCGAGGTGATCCAATTTTCCATCACTGAAATGTTGGTAGCCTCAGCCCCACACAGAGGTATTTCATAGTCCTGGTGGTTTAATATGGGGGGAATAAAGGGATTTATAAGTGAAGGAAAAGGGGCTCTGAACTCTGTCTAAACAGGGACTGATTTTGTTTATACAAATCCCAGGGGCATCACCACCCCCCTTTGCAAGAGCTGAAAGAATATAATGGTCCCTCCTGGGATATTTTTTATATATATATATATATGTATGTA